CAGATGTTTGACTTTGAAGTTTCCTGTGGTGGACGTTTGACCTCCTTACTGGGCAGAAAGCTCACAGTCCATTCTAGTAGAAAATTTTTCCTCATTCCTAATCCTGATTCAAAATTAGGGCTTTTCATTGGGGAAAAGTTTTGGCTGTCTTTGTAGCCAGGCACAGAATCTTAAGAATTAAGAAATCAGTAAAGACTGACATTCATCTCTATTTTAGTGCATGGACTTCATGATCTTGAATGGTGCTTACTTTTTTAACCACCCTTCACCAAAAATGAATCTAAAAAATGATACAGCAGTGAAGAAGGGCATGAAAGGAGCACCCAGGAAGATCAGAGGGTACAGAATATTCTTTTGGGCAGACACAAAGACACCGAATCTTAGAAGAAGGAGAGTTTGGAGGAGATATGATAAAAAAGCTTGTATAAAACTATCATGGTTTACAAATGAATAAATGCAGAATAATTTCCTTCCTGATTTTGTTGCAGTGAGCTGTAGCACCCAGTGACACAGATGTGAAGCTCAAAAATGAGCCAAACAAAAGCCCCAAACCCACCTGAGCATGTAATCTGGTTACAAAACTAATTACTAAAGGATTTAGGAGAGTATCAGAAATTATTAGATAAAGTCACTGGGAGTAGTCTTTCCCTGATGATTAACTAAGATCAGGCTTGGCTTTCAGGAGGTCTTAAATTGATGGTTAATGTGTGAAGTTATAGCATGGGAAGATTTTGCATTTAAGGGCTATTTCTTCTTACCTTCCCATAATTCACCAATGAGCTAGGACACTTGGCTCTGATGCAGTGTGTCAGCTTTTTACATGACAGACCTGCTTGAACCTTCAATTCACAAGGTGTTTCTGTGTTAATGACTTATTACAATGCAGAGGTTCTGTTTTGATTTTGGTGTGTGTTTGTTGGGGTTTTTTACCTCTATGTATGCTTTCTCTTGTGATACTCACTGATGCACTCATCAAAGTACTTCCCCTTGTGTGAAATCACATTTGAATTTGTACAATGGAATTACACTTGGAGTATCCCATTTGCAGTCTGGGGACACAGAGTCTTTCATCAGTGGCTGTATGGAGTGGTTTTCTGTGCAACTGCTGAGGCTGCTTCCTGTGCACACACAGGATTCTGTTAGTAATTTCAAAGCAGCTTTGCTTGACTGGCTGTACAAGCCCCTGCTTTATCTGGCCTATTAGGTCCAGACATGCCCTGTGCACCTAGGGCCAGCAACTGCACTGAGCTTCATTGCTTACAAGTGTGTGATGTGGAATTACAATCTGAAAATGCAGTTCCACATCACTTTATAGTAATTATGCCAGTAGGTAATGTGAATGTACCCAATCCAGGTCATTTTCACATGATCTACCTTTGTTTATGTTCATTAATCTCTTCCTGCTTGTTTTGCATGAGGCTCTTTAATTGGCAGCAGCTGTAGAGTTGTAATGTCTTATCGACCAAGGCAAACATGTGAATTTGGGTACAGAGAATGGCATGTTTCAGTTTTATTTTTTTTGAACATGAGATATTTGGACTGGATTGTTAATAAACTCAGTCATTGTTAGAAGAACTCAGCCCCACACACCCCATCAAAAAAAAAAAACCAAAAAGCATCTAAGATTTCTCTTCTCACAGGCAATAATTTCCTTTTTAATATTAACTATACTTAATAAATGCAGTTGATTTTAATAAAATGCTTCTCAAAACACAAGCCTTCCTTAAATGTTAGTTGATTCATATTAATCTTCTGTGTGCTTTCCCTTCAGAGGCTGGCTGTAGGAGTTCTGACAGAAAATGGTTTGACCCTAGAGGAGTGGCTGCCTTCAGCATGGATTACAGACACTGTTCCTCGCCGGTGCCCATTTGTGCCACAGATGGGGGATGAGGTATTGTAGTTTTTTTCTTCTGTAATCTTGCTTTTTTTTAGTCTTTTTTTGCCTTTTTTTTTTTGTTTTCCTCTGTGCATCTTTTCCCCAGAGATTTGTTATCAAAATATTTTGGATTTTCTTAAAAACGTTCTTTGATCTGACTAAAATTTGCTTTCGCTTCCTATGTTTAAAAAATATTCTGCATGTTGTTGCTTTGACTTTCCTTTTTATTATTCCATGCTGTTGCAGTGACATTCCTTCTTGTATGCTATTCAGTGTGTTCATTTCCTTATGACACCTGTACAGAAGCTCTGTGAGATCTAGTGAAAATAGTCCTTAATTATAGAGCTTCTTGTATGCTGAAGAATAGGCAAGAAATGAAATACAAAATTAAGTTTGGAAGACTTACTTCAGTTTGGGACTTGAAATAAAAACCAAGAATTAAACCTTTGGGGTAGATTGTGGTTTAGAGTTTGGTTTGGTTGTTTTACATGGTGGTGTCAATGTGGAGTTTAAGTTCATTTATTTGGAAGAAAAACTGATGTTGTCTTTTACACTTGTGTTTCCGATAGCAGAAAACTTCTGGTGGTCTCTTACAAGAGAAAACCACAAGAGAAGTTCTGTATATATGTATTTTATAGAAACCAGACTAAACACTTTGTAAACATGACCCAGATGTTTCAAAATCCAGTGGCAAAAGGACACCCACCAGTTTGTGCTTTGAAATATGTAGCATGTGAACATTACAGTGAGTTGTATGAATAAGTAGTATCAGATAGAATGCAATCTCGAAAGCCAGACTCGGCGTGTTTCCTAAAACCCCCTCAGGTTCAAATAGGAGGAAATAGCTGCCTTATGCTGTAATGTGCAGTTTGTTGTCTCTTCAGGGAGCTGCGTGTTTTCTGAGGTACTGAACAGAGTTCTTGTCTAGCTCACACCTTCAGAATGCTGTTAGAGAAACACTTGACATGGTGGCAAACTCAGTTAACTTTGGTCCTGAGCTAAAGCTTTTTGTAGGCACCACCTTAGAAACTGAATGAGGAGTAGAGGTTGCATGTGCCAGCACTTTTGTTTTCATTGGATCACTTCACTGATGCAGTTCACAGCACAGCTATGCAAAAATTACATCGGCATTGCTAGTGAGGGAGGGAAGGAGCATTTCAAGTTGACAATTGCAACTGGAGAAAATGCTTACGGATTTATACCCTCCAGCTAGCATGTTTTGGAGACTGTGATATTCAAAAGATTGAGTCCAAGTAAATATATTTGGTGCCTGATACCATCTGGATACCGTGAAGCAGCCAAGGATTTATCTGTACCATACTACTCAGGAGACTTTAACATCATATTGGTTTAGTAAGATAAACTAGTGTGTTTGGTTTGGCACCTGCTGAATAGCATGTGCAGCATGTACTAGGAATATTTAAGTAGGGTGTATCCTTGTGCTGAAAATGCTTTATATTGGTGATGAGGAAGTTTCCTCTCCTGTGCCTAGAAAGTAGGAATAGTTGAACCAATAGAGAGTATGTTTGTAACCAAGCTGCTCTGTCTGAAATTCCCTCTCCAGTACTTGCCTTCCCCAGATTTACTTAAGATGTGAAAAGAAACTGTTCATCTAGAAAGCTACTTTTGAGATTCACAGAAGTAAAAGGTTGGTTAAGTGACTTGTGGTGAGGAAAGGGCTTGTGTGGCCTTCCAACATTTTGGTGGATTGTTGATATGTTTTGTAACATTAGGGAGGAGAGATGTTTCAAAATCGTTCTCTGAAGCTGTACAAACAAGTAAGAAAAAACATTAGTGCTATATTTAGTTACACTCTGTGCGTAAGAACAGCACATAGCATCCCATTTCCCTTTCTGAATACTGCCATTTACAGACCTCTGGCATGTGTCTTGAGGAATGGTGGAAACACCAGAGAGATGGCACTGCAGCTCATCCCTGTCTGAACATTGAAATCCAATGTGTGCTCCTTGGAGTACTCTGCCATTAACACGATAAAGCACAGTTTTGTCTGGGTACTGCAACAAAGATGCAGAAGCAGGAATTCATCAAGGATAAAAATATTATTTCCTGGGAAAAAGCATGCTTTTTTTTCCCCATAGATATCTTCTTAATTTGTTCTCCTGACAGAAGATTCAATGCTTAGTGCCATCTGCAAAATAAAAATGTTTCACTTCTGTAAACAGCGGTCGAATTTATGTGGTGATTTAGCAGCAGCACTAAGTGTAGGAAGAATTGTTTGTAGCCTGTGCACTTTTTTTGTTTTGATTCACTGGAAGGTATGGGAAACAATTGTCACGCTGTTGAAAGTGTAATGTAAATTGGCATTGTTTCAGATCTGTCTCTCGGTAGCCTCTGTTCCTTTTCCTGACAGTTAGATAGATTCTGACAGTGCCTGAGAGATTCTCACAGCTTTCATGCCTTTTGTAACTACTGTATGTTTCGTCCCTGTGAGGATATTGTGAATCTTGAATACTCTGCAAATAAGGGTTGAAAAAAAATGTGGTGCTGAGTCCTTCTCAATTTAAAAAAGTCAGAAACTGCCAGGTGACACTAAGACAGTTCAGTGCCTGTTAATGTAGAATCTTGACAGACAATTCTTTATAATGTCTAATAATAAAACATGAAAAAGCATGTAGAAATATATGTTTATTTGTATAAATGTATTTCAAAACTTACAGAGGGCTTTTCACTCTATTTTTTTTGTTGTGTTGGACCTTTACATTTAAGCTATTGTTCTGTCCTGCTACTCGGTTGAAATCCCATGTTTATGGTGTGGGGCACTTTTAGAAGATCTTTTGTTTGGGGTGCATGTACCAGGAATACAGCCAATCATCAGATCTTTGTTCTAATTGGTTAGAGGAACCTCTGTTTTGCATTTCCACTACATCCCTTGAATATGTTGATGGTTTTCAGCTTATTGCTTCATTACAGTGATGTTTATAACCAAAACATTCATCCCCGTGGTATCATATCCAACAAGATCAAAGTAAAACTGTTAGGCTCTGGATGTGTGAACCACAGAAATTTATACTGGAAGGATTAAAAAAACATTTAGTCGGCACTTGAAATGTCTATTTTTAGTTTGTTCATGTCTCTGTTAAGCTGTTTTTTTCAGTGGCACGGAAGCAAACACCAAAATCTTACCAGAAAAATACTTCTTGTTCAAAAAACATATGATTAGCCAGATAGTGAATTCAGTGATACCTGATTGTTTTATTAGGGCTGTCCTGCAGTGAAGGGTAACAGGTGAATTAGTGGAATTCTTGTTGCTGTCATCCAGTTTTTCTATAGTGCAATGATAAATTGATAGTTTCCTTACCGATTTTTGTTTCGGTCCTACATGTAATTTAGGATATTTTGCTCATAGGGAAAATAGTGTTCTAAGTCTTTCCTGCTATTTATTCAAATGTTTTTTCATTGTCCATCACTTTATTTTTTGAGGAAAAGAGACTGAAAAGAAGTAGATGAAATAGAAAGTGCACATGTTGTATGGCAGTGATGTGGTAGCATTTCAGCTCCTCAAAGTCTTTGTAGGATAACTGTCACATTTCACTTCTAGGTCTACTATTTCCGACAAGGTCATGAAGCATATGTGGTCATGGCCAAGAAGAACAAAATATATAACATTAATCCCAAGAAACAGCCATGGCACAAAATGGAATTACGGGTATGGCTTGTATTTCTTTTTTGTTTGGATCTTAATATTAAAAAGAAATTAGAAACTAAGTGGAACTAAGTTCTTGATACAGATAATTCTGATGTGCTCTTGATATTTTAAGATGGGGGGGAAGTGAACATAATAATCAAATGAAATCAGACCTTAAACTGTATTATTTTTTGTCTCTACTTAGCAGATGACATGGTAACACTTCATCGCAAAATATTTTTCAAACATATTGCATTGTGAAATAATAGCTTGTTTTGGAAGACTAAATTCCAGATCCTTGATTTTGACATGATTTGGCAGAAATGTGGTATATTTAATATACCCATATTTTCGTGTTTCTGAAAGTTATTATAGTTCGTTTAACTTCAGTGGTGGTACTGATGTATTTTTTTTATTCCAGGAGCAAGAGCTGATGAAAATAGTTGGGATTAAGTATGAAGTGGGATTGCCTACTCTCTGCTGTCTTAAACTAGCTTTTCTTGACCCTGATACGGGTAAACTGACTGGAGGATCATTCACCATGAAGTAAGGAAAGCAATATTATATTCAAATTGGGGATTTTCTTGCAGGGTGAGGGTGGGATATGAGGTTGAAAGATAGAAGGTAACTTTTAACATTGACCTTGTGCTTTTGAAGTGCTGAATCATAGAATCAACAGGTCGGAAAAGACCTCAGAGATCATCAAGTCCAACCCTACCATGGTCACTAGACCATGGCACTAAGTGCCACATCCAGTCTCATCTTGAAAACCTCCAGGGATGGTGAATCCACCACCTCCCTGGGCAGCACATTCCAATGCCTGATCACTCTCTGTAAAAAATCTCTTCCGAATATCCAAGCTAAACCTCCCCTGGCAGAGCTCGAGTCTGTGCCCTCTTGTCCTGCTGCTGGTTGCCTGGGAGAAGAGACCAACCCCCACCTGACTCCAACCTCCTGTCAGGGAGTTGTAGAGGGTGATAAGGTCTCCCCTGAGCCTCCTCTGTTGCGAGGAACAGCACAAGAAAATGACATGTACTGAATTCTAAGTGTTAATATTTTTATGTAAGTGCTTTACTTTATGCTTTTGCTGTTTTATCGCTTAATAGTTGTGTGTTCTGTTGTAATCAGGTACCATGATATGCCAGATGTCATAGATTTCCTAGTTTTGAGGCAACAGTTCGATGATGCAAAGCATAGGCGATGGAACATAGGTGAGTTGTGGGGGGAAATTTTGTGCTGTGGTGTTGTTTGTTTGTTGCAGAGAATAAGCTCTGCCCCTATTTAGACAGGGAGTCCTATTTTGTCCTTGATTGAAGCTACAAGCAAACAAAATACTGAAGGTGATCTGTAAAGGAATGTGCAAAGAAAATCTCAGTTGTGTTTGCAGAGAGGAATTAAGAAATACTTCTTTGGAATGTGGTATTTATTGGTAACTAATAATGTCTTGTAGCCTATCTGTGGTTTGTGTCTCTTTTTTTATTGAAGGCCCTCTTACAACTACTAGAATTACTTCTTTTTTTCCCAATTTCTGCTGGAAATATGGAAACATCTCCATAATTCTGTAGATTATACAAGGAGATTGTACTCATCTTTAAATGCTTTTTGAATTCTGTTCTAAAGCCCATGGTTTAACTTCATTGAAGTGTGTATAGCTATAATTCACTGCCATGTGATGTGGGAATGTCTTTGATTAGTTTTATTTGCCTGTGCTTAGTTATTTTGAAGTATTGGATATGAGAAGAATGTCTAGGACTGGTACATTCTCCAGTCAGATCTATTTCCTAGTCATCTTTTGCATATGATAATAAAAACTACCTTCAAGCAATGAAATCTAACAAAGAGGAGAGAAAGCTGCATTATGATGAATGATCCTCTGAAGTTGGGGGTTTTTTTTCCAGGAGGTCAGAAAATGCATAAATTCTTATTCATAAAAAAACCTTAGATTGTCCCTTTTTTTTTTCCAGGAGGTCAGGAAATGCATAAATTCTCATTCATAAAAAAACCTTAGATTGTCCCTGACACTTAAAAGATTAAGCAAGTATTACAGATTCTGCAGAGTTCAGGATCAAATGTGTACCCCTAAGAGAAGTTTATATAGGATACAGTGTTTTCAGAATTATGGGCACCATTAAGTCCTTTCTAATATCTCAGTGTATTTTGTGAAGTCTCATTCTCCCTGAAGTAAAATATTGATAGCCTTCCTTTTCATTTTTCCTTTGAAGTAGGTCTCAGTGTTCCACATATTTTCTGTGAAGTAGCAGTGATTGCTCTGACAACTCAATTCCTGGGATTCTTCCATTCAGGAGCTGTGGTTAGCATGTCACATGTTTTGTTTGTTTGTGGGTTGGGAATTTTTTTGTGATGATGGGTTTTTTTGTTTCTTACATGTCTTTTCTGACAGGAAAGGCAATTTGGTCTCCTGTGCTTTGATATCCTTGCTTAGGATGTGTGCCTTAGCAGTAGATGTATAAATTATATGATGCCATAGGAATCAATTCCATAGCATCTCATACTTTGCACTCTGTTGTCTGAAGAGACAGCTAGTCTTCAGTTCTGTAGGGAATTTAGTAGAGACCTTAGGCCTCTGATCCAATAGGAAGTGGAAACCTTGATTTCTTCTTTACAGATCATTTCAGTTTAAATATCTCTTAAGTGACAAAGTTGGTCAACATCTACTGATACATCACCAGATTTACTTTCTCCTGATGGTTATGGATCTGTGGTCTTGTCCTCCTCTGCTGTGCTATGTGTGTTTTCCCACAAGATCATGGGAACAGCTTAGCCAGCAATCATCTGTCAGCTGTTGTGATAGAAATCCAGCAGTAGAGGAGGGACTTTGAAACATAACCTTTGCTGCTCTTGAGACTACAAGCATAGGTAGCATCTCCTTCCAGGGCTGGCATTTCGAGAAACCTGCAGTGTGGAAAAAAATCAGAGCTGCATGTTGAAATTGGAGGTGCTACTGAAAGTGCCAGAACCTTTTATCAAGCCTTCATTGTAAATATTGTGAGTTCCTGCCCAGTAGTGTTTAATACCAGCTTGTAGCCCTGGCGAGTGCTGTGTTAGAGTCCATTCTTCAGTTCCTCTTTTAGGTGGTAAAAATAGTGGTAAAATTGTCTCCTCTTTTGAAACTGTATGAAATGTTAAAGCAGTGCTAGTAAAGACCTTGCTGTTAAAGCTGTTACAGCACTTCCAGGAGCCTTCCAGAGCCCTACCCTGCTCTCTGTATAGACACTTGGGATGTTTTACCAAGCTTATGCTTGTGTACTTGAAACAAATAATGCGCTGGTGTGTTGCACTGTGGAATACAGTATAAAAATGTTCTCTGAAAGTAGATCCTATTTTCTGCCAGGATAAGGAGAAATGCCTTAGGACTGTGTATGAAACTCCCTGATTGTTTAACCACATGATTCTGAAATCCTCAAGATTTGTCTGACATACTTGAGTCTTTTGAACTTTCAACACAGAGTTTTATCAACCAGCTGTTTTGGTTTTGTGTTTTTTTGTATCATGCAGTTACTGGTTTGTCTTCACAGGATTACTGTTACTATCTTTTCTTATTCCTCTATGATTTCTGGCACTTAGCCTAAAAATCAATGTTTTTATAGCTATTACTTGGGAAGTCACTGGATACTATATTTTCTGACTCTATTTTGTCATTAAATTATCATGGGGTTTTTAAGGCAGTTTTTTTGGTTGTTTTTTTCCACCCAATAACAATCCTTGGTGTTTTGGTGGGGGAGTTTGTTTGGTTTGGGGTTTCTACGTGTTTTTGTTCTTGTTTGGGTTTTGTTTTGTTTAGGGCAGAAATTTGCTTACCTGTTATATTTTTTTATGTTAAATATATATTGATGTATGAACCTTTTCAGAAATAACAAAGTTGGAGAAATTACAGGTGCTTGTTTGTATTCAGATTCTATTTATTGCATATCTTTATCTTATTGTAGTTTAACTACAAGTTTAATAATTTGGCTAAAAGCTATTCCAGTAGTATTCCTGCAGCTTCAGCTGTATGTGTTAGATAGGTGTGCATTCCTGTCTCTCACATAGCAGCCACTGAGTTCAACACCCATTTCATGTTTTCAGCAAGGTGACATTATGGGGTGGTACTCAGTTACAGAATCAGTTGGGTTGGAGGGGACACCAATGACTCATCCAGTCTAACCTCCCTACTCCAGCAGGGTCACCCTAGAGCACATGGCTCAGGATTGTGTCCAGACAGTTCTTGAATACCTCCAGTGAGGGAGAATCCACAGCCTCTCTGGGCTATCTGTTCAGTGCTCAGTGACTGCACAGCAAAGTTCTTCCTTGTATTCAGGTGGAAATTCCTGTGCATTTTTTTTTGCTGTTACCTCTTGTTTTCTTGGTTTCCACCACTGAGAAATCTGGCCCCATCATCTTAGGACTTCCCATTCATGTACTTGAATACATTAATGAAATCCCTTTCAGTCATCTCTTCTGGAGATTGAACAGCCACAATTCCCTCAGCCTTTCCTCATCAGTGAGGTGCTCCAGTTCTGGAAAACTATGCTAAATCCTTCTTCCATAAAGGTATTTTGGACTGCTGTCTGCATAGGTGAGGTAGCACAGAGGACATTGGGAAAACAGTGATTCTAGAGATGGTTGTGTGAGCTTTTACAATCATGTTGTTTTCTGCTTTAGCATTCTGTCCATTGGGATGCTGTGGCTCTTGAGAACTGGGAAGCAGCTGCCAGGGTACACTCCTTTAAGTGGTTTTGATCTGCTCAATGTTCAGCCCAGTGAAGTCACTCACAGTTGTACCTACCCACATTTCTTTGTAAAACGGATCCCTGGGGAATGCTATGTTGCAAGACTGTGGTTTAAGAGCCCCTCAGAATAATTTATTCCTTCAAAATAAAGCATGGATCTTTGTTTACATATCTGATCTTGCATTTCAAATATTTCTGGTATACTTGGTTCTGTTCTGCATGATTAGGACTATTAATAGAAACTTTATAATTGCCCTGGAATTACCTGCAATCCATTAAATCTAAAATTTAACAGAAGTGCAGTGAAGAACGCAGATCACTTTTGAGACTATACTTCCCTCCTATGAATTCAGACAACTACACAACCATTTAGGCAGACTGTGGAAGTATTGCAGTAGAACCAATCCTGCAGCAGTTGAAAAAGTGTGTATCTATCCATATCCCATGAACACAGAAATGTGCAGTTCTTGGCATCTCGGGCTTAGATTACATTTGTTCTTGTATTTAGTAGACTGAATAGTAGGCTAAAAATTGTTCTAAATTTTGTGGTATGTGTTCTAGGAAATGTTAGCATTTGTGATGTTGTGTAAAACATGCATTCTCGTGTGTAATTTTTTTTAATAAAGCTTCTGACCTTTTTCCTCAGCTGGGCGAGTGCTTTGCGGTAGCAAAACCATTGCAAGTCAGATTAAATTACTTCGCTAACCTTTTGAACGAGCATTAATAAATTTTATTCTTTTAGCAGTTGCATTGCCTGCATAGTAAAGGGAAGGAACCTCTTGAGTTATATTTGGGTAGCTGAAAAAGCACTTCAGAAACTAAGGAGGAAGAGCTCAGCAGCACATGAAATATTCTCCGTACAAAAGTGTCATAGTGCTCAGGTTTTTTGATATAGAATGTAGTGTTTCATGCAAGTAGATTTGAGTCTTGCAGTATTGAAATGTCTTAGTATGAAATTAAGAAATAAATTCATATGTAAAAATACATAAATTTGCAAAATGTTATTTTTCTAAAAGACCATCTTAGGTTTCATTTTGGTTAAAAAACAATCTGCAGAAAGAATTTAATGTTGATTTTTATTTTTTTTTAAACTGAGTGTCATCTCATGTTTGTCCGTTGATACTTTAAGTGTTCAAAAGGATTTCTGTATTCAAGATCAAACCAGAGATATCTAAAAACTGCTTTTCTTGGGAGAGTAAGGTGCTTTGTATTGATGAAGTTATTTTGTGTTCTTACCTAGGTGATCGTTTCAGGTCAGTGATAGATGATGCTTGGTGGTTTGGAACAATTGAAAGCCAGGAACCTCTTCAGCCTGATTATCCTGATAGCTTGTTTCAGTGCTACAATGTCTGGTTAGCAAATTTATCTTCAATCTTCTACTTTAATTAGTTACTTCTTTGAAGTACTGAGAAACTTGCTCTCATTAAATTCAGTCATGCATCTCACTGTACCCCTTTATTATAATGTTGTGTGGTGTATAAATAAGTTACGTTGCAAACATTAAATAATTACATTGCTGAAGCAATATTAGTAGATAATTTAAGTGTGGTTATTTTTAAGCTGGGACAATGGTGATACTGAGAAGATGAGCCCTTGGGACATGGAGCTGATACCAAGTAATGGTATGGTACCTTAATAATATAATTTGCTTCACAAGTGTATTTAAAGAAGAAAATAAATGTTATGTGGTTTTATATAGACAATCCTGTTTCTCTTGGGGAGTGGGAGGAAGGCCCACAAACCAGTTGTGTTTAAAGGATCTCTCTAAATCCCTTATTAAACTAAAAGTGGATCAAGATAAAAGAACTGGAAAAAAACCATACAGCCATAAAAGGACAAAGTAAATGTATGTTGAAAATAGAAATGCTACAGAAATTATAATAGGTGATGTACAGTTAAAGTTAACTTTGTGTACAGTCAGGGAGAATTGAAGATCAACTTGTGCCCCAGGTCAGCTTGAGGAAACTGTCAGTGTGGCTGAAGATAGTTTGGTAGCAGTAAGATTTGCTCCCTGTCTGGCCCAGCACATGTGGCAGGTAGACATGCTGCAGAGTGGAGAGCATAGCATGAGCATTGTTCAGGGACAAGGACACATAGTTTGTTTGGTTTTTTGAAGACTTCATAGAAATCTGGCTGAAAACCAAAGTCGAATCAGCATTTTTTCCTTATCTTTTCTAAGAAATGTGGCAATATTGTCACTCATAAGTAACCATAAATAATCCTTAATTATTTTAAATTGTAAGTGTGTTCATTTCAACTTTTCTTTTTGGTTCAGCCCTTCTTTTAATGGGTGCCTCTTTGTCATAAGTAATTTACAAGCATTAGAGTGATAACGTGACTAAATTAAAATAGACAGTTAACCCTTGTTCAGCTTTCTAGTAGAGGCTAATTCCTGTTGTCTTAAGGAAGGAGAAACCATTTTCGGATAAAGGATAGATACTGATTAAGATAACCAAACCTGAACTTGAATTTTTTTTCTATATCCACAAAAACTGACTTTTGTTACACCTTCTTTAAAAAGGAAAATACTTGTTAAAGGAACACTTTGCATCATACTTCAAAAATCTGCTGTTACATTATAAATTGTCAAAGCTGGTAGGTCCTCAAGGATGCTTGGGTGATTTCACTATTAATTTGCTTGCTCAGGAGCTCTGGTTTTAGCTTTTGAACTCACAAAACTGTGAATCACTACCAGAGAATGTTTTAGTGTCAGTGTCAAAGCTGTTACCTTACACCTCGTCTGAGAATTGTCTGCCATTCTTTACCAAAATAGCTTATTACCAAGAATACTGAACTTAAAACACAACTCCAAGAACAAAGCACAAGCTTTAACTGTGATAAAGGAGTGTCCTAGTTGGTTCTAAAATAAATTCTACCATTAGCTATTCAGGAGATGAATCTTGTTTCATGGAAGTTTTGTACACCAAAGTGCATTGTAAGGATTTAAAGTTAACACACAACAATATACAGAAAGGATACTTGATGCATCAGAATAGCTTTGAGCAAGTCAAGAACTATGCATTTGTTTTGGTTAGTCAAAATGATTCTATGATATCTTTGATTTACAGATATATGTGTTAAACAAGATACAAAGATTTATGTTTTATTCAGTTTTCATGTTACATTCTAGCTGTGTTTCCAGAAGAACTGGGAACTAGTGTTCCTTTAACAGATGATGAGCGTAGAACACTGCTCTACAAACCTCTGGATGGAGAGTGGGGATCCAGGACACGGGATGAGGAGTGTGACAGAATTATTGCAGGGATAAACCAGCTTATGACTCTGGGTAAGTTCTGACTGATACGGGAAATGGTTTTGGTTTATATTTTTCAGGCTATGCTCATGTGCACTTCTGAAATTACCAAAATGTGTGTGATAAAGTACACCTTTAACCTCTTGATTAACTGGATCAAAACTTTCTCATTGCATGTTTTTTAAGTTTTCATATAGCGAGTGCATATAAAACCTAAATTTTCTCCCATTTCCAAAGGTAAATGTTGTTTTTTGGTAAATGTGACACATGCTTGGGGTTTGGGTTTTACATGTTACAAGCAGGTACTTGATTTTTCAAGTTTAGTTACCAGAGTCTCTTGTTGGGGTTAAAAATGGGAACTTTATGATTAAGAGAATATTACAAACAGATGGGAGAAAGAAATCTTAGAGAATGGATACCTGTGTGTAGATTTTCCATGTAGTAGCCTTTGCCAATTCCTGATTTCTTCCCCACATTTCCTTAGTTATGGAAAATGTTAAGGAAAAAGTAGTTGGTTAACTAAGGAAAGCCACTTGCTCTTTGGCTGTGGAGCAATTACTCTTCTCAGGCAGCTCCTGAAAAGTACTTGTTAAAACATTTGACACATTGCTGTAACATTTACCTGTTCATAGTTGGGTGTCTTGGATGGAGATGTATCAGTGACATACAGGCTGAACCACAACTCTTCTCCTGTCTTTGTGATGAGCAAATGGGATTAAGTTAGCTGTCATAGGTTTGGGGCTAACAGTGGTCGTAAATTAAATATTTTAGCTGTCACAGATAATTCTTAACTGATTTTTGACGTACTTCATGCAGGGTAAGACAAAACTTAACTCCTGAAACAGCTCTGATACCTGCATGTCCACATGACTTCTTTGTTGGCATACTGCATAAAAAACCTCCCTTTGCTTCCAAGGGAAAGTAATTACCCATACAGTGTAGTAAAACAAATTGCAGATTTACATTTAAAAAAACTGTAG